ACTTGATACAGAGTAATTTTATCAGTATTGTCTGCTAACAGAATGCACTATTTATGCTGAATTCCAGCTGGGACATCCTGACATGCACAGCAAGCTGCTCCAGCCCCTGATGAGCCTGTACCTGAGTTAATTCTGCAAGCAATGGATTTTCAGTTGTGACTCTGACTCTTGCAATTCCTTTTTGTTTGGTGTAGAAGAAAGTATAACCTCATGGAAATCATCCAACATAAACATTATGCAGGAGGGTGGGGGTTATAATAAAAAGTAAAAAGACAAAGATAAGCACACGGTGAATAGCTGTGATGCTAGTTCATCTAAGTGGTCATCTTTAGAAACTAAAGGGATCCACACATCCCTCACACCATCCCTCTTGCACATCTGAACCTCCCTTTGAAAACAAACTCTTCACAGGACACCTGGGTGGCTCAGTCGGTTGAGCGTCTGACTTTGGCTCAGGTCACGATCTCACAGTTCGTGAGTTCGAGCCCCACATTGGGCTTGCGGCTGTCAGCCTATCAGTGCAGGGCCCACTACGGATCCTCTGTCTCCCTCTTGTCCCTCCCCACTTGCGTTCTCCCAAAAATAAATAAATGTTTGATAACAAACCCTTCACATATGCCCCTATGTCCTGGAAGAAGACAGTGACAAGGATCCCATAAGGAGGCAGGAGGTCCCAAAAACTAAGAATATGCTTGTCATATTCTACCACTTCAAGTAGAGTAAGGTAGTCAAGATCTTTAGAGTATGACACAATACAGCTCCACCACTGACTCCTGGTGGCATGCTAGTGGCCATCACCTCTCTGATCCTCAGTTTTATTACCTGTAAAGTAGGAACAAATCATACATCCCAGAATTACTATTAAGTTAAAATGAGACAACAAATATGTGTAAAGCACTTGCCTAGAACATAAAAGATACTGATAACTAACTGAATAACCATTGTTATTGATATTACATGACCTCAGGAAGAAAATTTTCAAAAATTGTGCATGGGTGTTACTATGGGAGTGATGACTAGCCTAAACAGAAAGACAAAAGAAAAAAAAAA